GGAGAGACTCTCAAAATCTCTTGGGAGTTCGGTGTAAAAAATAGCAACGAGCCACCTTCGGTAGAAATATTCGTTCCCGATTATTTGATATTGCATACTGGGATTTGTTAATATACTTGAGTTATATAGATATGATAATGTATCAATAAACTTGTTAATAAAGTATGTGGTGAGTAATAATCATATAATCTATGGATACCTTCATAACGATACAGTTTTTGATGACGTCCATCAGTATCCTTTGTCTCCAATGGATGGAAAAGTAAGCGATTGAATACAGAGATATGAGCGCAATGAAATAATTTTATACAAATGAGCAATGATGAATTTCACCTATTTGAAAAATAACAAAAACAGGTCTTGGTGCTCAACGCATATTTACAGGAAGATAAACAAATACATCTATAGATTCATAGCAGTACTTAAACACGACGTATAAAATTCCTTTATACCATTACGATGAAGACTTCAATTTTAGTTTTTCTTTTCTTTACAGAATATTTTTATTGATGGAGACATAAAAGATATACCAGAGAATTCACCGAACTTCTTCCTAGGAAGCTTAAACACAATAGATGAAGATGAAGGTGATGAGTTTGCCTATCAAATTTTAACGCACTGGGAAATATTCCGGATTTACAAAAATCGCTTATACGCAGTAACCCCACTTGACCACGAAGCCGAACATTCGGTCACTGTTAGCATCAAAAGTATAGACAACGGTTCCCCGCCTCTTTCACTCATCAAAGAGTTTAGTTTTGATGTGGGAGACAAAAACGAAGTACCAACAAACATTGCATTGTCCCACACCGAGGTAAATTAAAGCATGCTTTGTACACGTAAAAAATTAAATTTGAAAAAAACCAACATGTTTCCCTCTGGAAAAGTGATTAAACTACGATACGGTAGTATCGAAATATCCTACGCGTTGATTAAAATGTTTCAAGAGAACAGGCAGGCAATTTGCATGACTAACTGACTAAAGACGATGAGGACAATTGTACATACCTCGAAACACCAAGCTTTCTATAGTTTAACTTGTTTGTAGAGGTCCCTCGAGTTTTGTCTATGATTTGTAGCATTTGAATGTTTGTGTTTATAGAGACTACCCTATACTTCCTAGGTGTCTAACGCGGCCTCTCCAGGCGACGTGGTAGGGTTCATCACCGTGACAGACCCCGACAACGAGGGGGTGGACACACCTGTCCAGATCCATACCTGTACTGTTGGAGGGGACGCACTAGGCTTCTTTACCGTTGAGCCATCCACACCGCTGGCCTTTAAAGTATGTGTTTGGGAGAATGTTTCCAATTACTATTACTGATTTGTTGCAATTGTTCGCGTTAATATGTAAATGTATGTAAAACACTTTTACGTATGAAATTGCATTTTCCTCTTATAAGAGTATATTTACGCATAAAATAGATTCTACCGTAGATAAATACCGTTTTATAATTTATTTGCAAAAACTGTATTATAAAATATATTGAAGAGAATGTCTATGATAATTTTCAAACAGGTAACAAAGGATATACCAAAGGATATATTGGAAATGCTGTTACGTTTGACATGTACAGATGACGGTAATCCAGTGTTGTCTCTCACAGTGGATATAACACTTACCATCAATGAAACTGTTACAATACAAAAAGGCCTACGTCTGAGAAATCAACGTACTATTCCCGAAAATACGGATGCACATTTTGTCGTTGGAAAGCTCGAGGTGGTGAACATACTGACTGAAGAGGCTATTGAAGGCGTGAGTTATCTTGTGATTATTGAATATAAAATGTTTACGCTGAAAAGCGTAAGTACGATTTCTTTACAAACAGTTTTATTGTTGCATATATTGTGATATTCATAAAAGTGCAAAAATGGATTTTTATAATTGATAAATTGATTGTATGACTTCATAAAGTTTCTTTTACATTGCAGACGTATACATACACTTTAAGCAACGAACAATTACCTTTTGGCACAAATGGCGCAAACTTGGAGACATCTCTGTCACTCGACTTTGAGCATCAGTCAGAATGGGAAATAGATATAGTCACTTCCGGTGTTGATATTCGAAACAGAGATGTTCACATCACAGAAACGTTTGTTGTAAGTTCATTTTAGCACTGCAGTACGATACTTCTAAATATTAATTGTATATTTGTAATTCGTTTATCATCATCAACCTTAAATCGACATTTATATGAACCTTTCATCACGTTTAGCATTATTAAGCCTAGTATAGTCATCATAGATCTAACTGTCTATTTTTGGATTTCAGTTAAATTCTCATTTCTTGTAAGTGTGATGATTAATGACCATCGATCTGAGAATATGGAGGTATTTCAATGCTGTATAAAAAAAGAACTGCAATAAATGTTGCAGAAAGTTACTTTTAACATGCATAAAAAATGTATTAATACAATTTCTTATCTGTCCTATACGCGGTTATATCTTGAACAAATGCTTCAAGTACAACGATCAGTCAGATAATAAATCACGTAAACAATCGACTGTTTCATTAGATAGAGGTCGAGGACATCAATGAGGCTCCCTACAAAATAAACATATACGGAGGTGGACTGGTACTAGAAAATAGTGATCCGGGCACAGAAATCGGGGATCTTAACTCCGAGGATCAGGACGATGACCAAACTTACAACTACACAATCATTGCTGTATCTCCGGGGTGAGTAAATTATATAGGATAACAGTATATATACTTACAAAAATATATCACACTGTTGAACAAATCAAAAACAATAAATATTTTGATGTTGATAACTCAAAATCAACGCGACACATTCTGAAATTTGTTTTGCGAAACAGCATTACAACCACGAAAATTTACATATCACCGATATATTGAAGAGACAAAACCTAAATGAATTCACTGAAACTGTTTATTATACACATGTATACGCTTAAATTATGTGTATCATAATAAATATTATCATTTATAAACAAACGGTTAACGGAAAATATATTCAATTTTCAAAATTGACATACTAAAATAATAAGCGTCATAGAAACTATCTAAAGCTTATCTTTGTTTGGATTACAGATTGGATATGTCTCAAGTTCGACCTGAATTAAAGGATACATTCAATTTAAAAGGAAAAACACTGGTCGTAGGGGGAAATTCAGAGGAGTTAAATTATGAAGTGGTAAAATATTTTACGCTATTAATACAAACAACTGACTCCGGCAATACCCCATTGTCATATAACGACACCATTCACATTCAAGTGCAGGACTCGAACGATGTTCCTACAGATATCCTTCTCACACAAAACACGGTAAGGGTCTTTACATAACTTCCCCAACCTCATTTCTAAACTACATCTATCAAACACTTTATATAGAATGCCAAACATGTTTTACATTCAACAGTACTTCACAGTATTTTATAGATATGTAACACTGCTTTGTTAATTTGTTGAAATATTAAGAAATAAACGTGAAAGTAAACATAACACATTAAAGAGAACATATTAACAATATAATTAAATGTTATTAGATACAAGAGAACAGTGCTGTCGGAACAGTTGTCGGAGAGTTGAACCTTGTCGATGAGGACGCATTACTTTCTTACACGTGTGTGGTCATAAATCCAAAGAATGCTCCCTTCAAGGTAGTGCACCATGGGAAATATCTTAATTTTTCGTGCTATGTATTATTGAAGAACGAGTGTCAAGAATAACATGATCGTCAGTTTCATCTTGTAATATCTTCTAAAACACAATTTATTATGTCCAATTGTTATTTTTGTACGTTTTCATGAGTTTCTGCTTCTTCCACTATAAACGAGTACGTTTAATTCAATTCTCTTTATGTGTTGATATCTGTGTAACGGTGACTGACATGCAATTTGTTTAACCGTCATATCATTTCTTGGATTTAGGTAGAGAACAACTCCTTTCTTGTCACAAGCAGGACTGAGTTGGATTACGAAAGCGCAAGGGTATTCACCGTTGAGGTTGGTGTATTACTGTAAAACTTTATTATTTTTTCACATAAATTACACTTTTGTTAATATATGATCAATTTAGATTTCTTTGGAATAGTTCCATGCTTAACAAGGCGGAACCGTTGCTGTATGGATTTTTTTTTTATCAATGAATATACGATTGCTGAATAATGATTGACATTAACTAAGAACGCATAATTTATTCCGCCATTTTTTTTAATTTAGACACAGTGCACTGACGAAGGAAGAGACGATACACGTCTTACGATAAGCAAGGCGTTTGTTGTCAACGTTACGAACATCAATGAACCGCCGATTCGTATAGAAATGACCAACACAGAAATAGAGGAGAATAACCAGGGAGGGCAGGTTATAGGGGAAATAAGGACCACAGACCCAGACAGTGATAGGGTAACGTTATAAATGAAATAAAAAAAATCATACAAGAGCACGAAATGTCTACATTTGTCAAATCAAATAAAAGTGCATATTTTCGAAAATTATTCAAATAACAATAAGCAATAACATCGTTCATTGTTAAAAAAGAATTCGATATGCTTAAACGTGATTTTGTTACCAAAAATGGTCGCCTTTATCCATGATTCTCACTTTACTTTCTAGGTTACAGTAACTTTGGTTGGAGGTGGCGAATCATCAGTGTTCTCTGTGGATGGTGATAGTACTATTGTCGCAAATGAAGTGTTGAACTTCGAAAAACAAGCAGAGTATAGTATTATAATACGGGCTACTGATGATGAGAGTCTGTGGTCTGAAGAAACATTCACGATTAAGGTAGGCTGTAAAACTTTTTTTTTCAAAATTTATCGAATGAGCATTTTCTACATAAATACCTGCAGTGGATAATCGGGTGCTACGCAATGAACTGAAATTGAAATTACGAAAAATTATCGATTATTTTTAATTATTTGTGAAGGTACAAGACAAAAATGAACCACCGTCAGCTGTAGTCCTTGACAGCAAGTCTGTGGATGAGAACACGGGTCCAGGGCACATCATCGGTACATTGACTACCATGGATGATGATAATGGTCAGAGGTTCAACTATGTTATAGTAGACGATCCGACACATTCAGCACTTGGTTAGTCATGTTTTCTAAATAACTATATACTTCTACTCTATAGTGGTATCTGCATCTGATCCGTACTATCACAATGAGGCAAATACACCAACATACCCTGCCTCCGGCACATATACACAACACACATGGAGCAACGTCCTTAAATGACCTAATATGTCGATAGGACGTTAAACCCTGGACAACCAACCAAAAAATAATAATGCTACAGCGTCAGTTAACTCTGAAACGAAAATGCATTTAATGGTATTTTCTTTTTCCTTCACATTTTTAACCAATGATGTTTCATGTGTAAAATAGAATCTTATTCTGACCTGGTTCACATGAAATAAAAGTTTTAAATAAATCATCAGTTGTACCCAATAATTGATGACGTTTAAATGGTTTCCTTTTTTGCTATATTTCTCCATGTTAAGAAACACAGGAAAATGGGTTTTCATTGTTATGACTCTTTGTAACACAGATGTTTTTATGATTTTCTGTTAACTTGACTGTTTTTCCGTATATTTCAATACTTTGTATATTCAACATTAAACAGACAAGACATGTAGCATTTAAAAGGGATTACGAAGTTTTGAATTGCAACTATGAATTTAAAAAACGATATCGATACAGAAAGAAACACAACTCAATGGCATGATATCATACGTTTCGTGCATCACAGATACATGCATTTCATTCATAATGCAAACTTTGTTTCAGGATATTTCAAAATAGAAGGTGATAAGTTGGTTACAGGTGAGACGCCACTGGACCATGAAATGCAGTCGGAGTATACCATTGTCATCAAAAGTACAGATAATGGTGACCCTGCATATAGCGTTGAGGTGAAAGTTATTTAAATAAGAAAGATGGGTTTTGTCAATCATCATGGCTTGCTTTTAATTTAATATCCAAGTCAGTAAACAATGTATTTTTTGCGGAGTAACTTATTGTTCCAGCTTAAGTTTAACTTTTCTAAAGGTGTTTTTGCATCTGTCAATTTTAAAATCGGATTACGTATCTTTACGTTGATGCCGTGGTTGGTTGGTTTTCTGTTTGACTATAAATTATATTCACATCATCCTATTTTCCTTTTCATATATTTTTATTATTTTGTAATATCCTTTTTATATCATGCGTAACTACAGACGCAGATCAAGATAAAAGTCGAAAATATAAACGAAGAACCAGAGGATATCATTGTGGGTGCCTTACTGACCCTACCCGAGAACGCTAACTCTCACGCGGTTGTGACGTCAGTGGAGGTCGATGACCCAGATATTGGACAGCACCACATTTGTCAGGTCGAGCCAACGTCTCTTCCCTTCAGTATAAAGACATTCGCTGATCATCACATGGAGTTGATCCTGAACGGAGCCCTGGATTATGAAACTAAGGAGAAATACGATGTAACCATTCGATGTTCTGACGGAGTTCTAGAGAGAAAGAAGGTAAAGTTTATTTTATTTTCAAAAGTTACACATTTCATATATTTTGTCCGGTTACGTAAAACCATGGTAATTTTGTAAAATTGTACTTAAGACTGCGTTAATTCAGCATTACAGAAACCCGCATACATGCAAACACAATAGACTGTATAGCAGGGGAGTAGATTGCCTCCCTTCATCTTTTTCGAGTGGGGAATAATTATGTTTGTTCCCATAAATCACTGTTGAAAACAGTTTAATATCAAAGTCACTTTGTTTCTTCTTTTTATCCGTTTTCATTTTCCAATCAGTTTCATTGTTAACATTAAAGATATGAAGTTGTTTCCTCGATCCGCTCGGCGATTAAAATCATGCTACCAAATATTCATTGAAGAGATTTTGTTTCTTCCATAACAAGAAACAAATTAGCACGTGATCAATTATCGTGCATAGCAAGCAGGCTATCTTTGAGATCTACCTTTCCTCGCAACGTTTTATTTTATATCAAGAAATTATCCGAAAATTAACCAAGTGAAGGAAGTTATGAAAAATAAGTGATAAAAGTCCGAAGCAGGGAAGCACATATAAAAAAAAAAGTTTGTCGGCGTTATAAATATGATAGTATTGTCTATATTAGGCCTATATATTTCTATTTGTCTAGTCCGTACAAGTGCTGGTGTCCGATGTCAATGAACGACCGGAGGCGATTCAATTGAGTGGTACAGGCTCGATTATTGCCAGTGCACGTCCTGGTTCGGTTGTAGGAATCTTTTCAGTTCTGGACCCCGACCCCCACCAAACACACACACTAACCTTGTCAGGTCCCAACTCAGACCTACTCCAGGTACGTAGAAAACGCCTAATTAGTCTAAATATGACCGTTTCCTTATAAAAGCACTATGATTCTGAGTCTTTGATCCCGCTATGTGCGAATAGGCGAATAGATATCAAATATATGGTGAAAACGATATAATTGAAGCTAAGGTCTTTGATTATTTAATTATTTTTTTTTTACAATCCTGGAATTTAGAAACTAGTATCAAATGAAATCAAGTCATGAAAGCACAATGACAAAACACACGTGTACAAAACTATGATATCGTTTGTTATAGGCCTGCAGCTGTACGGGCGTGTTTGTGTCTAGTTAATATGAAATATATTTAACGCATTACTTATTTCAAGTTGTGTCCGATAATTCTGTATTTCTGTTGCAGATCGAAAGATCGTCAGTCACACTAGCAGCACCCATTCCAGATGAAATCGTGTATGCGGAGCATCCCGTGCTCAGCATTAATGTTACAGCCACGGACAATGGGGTGCCGGAACCTCTGTCGGTCCAGCAGATATTTACTGTTGTCATTACAAACGTACAAGTTGTTGTCAAACAGTTGCCTGTTATCACTCTTAGAAAAGTGGAAATACTTGAAGATACGAAACCTGGGAAAAGCATTGGACCATTATTGAATGCAAATGTCTCTGCTGGTGATATCGATTTCAAAATTACTCGCAATCCATTTGGGGCGTTTAAAATTTCTAAGAATATAAGCTTGATACTTGATAAGAATTTGACTGGTGTTGAAGGTGATTCAATGAAGGTGACTATAGAAGTGATAAACAGGGAGACATTCAAGTCGGCTTTCACCGATATACTTGTTTTCATCCTACGCATAGACAAATGTAAAAGACACACCAACAAGACTTGCGACGAGCACGCAAGGTGTGTGCAACATAATGATACTTACGACTGTGAGTGCGAGACAGGCTACACGGGGGATGGCTACCAATGCACACGTAATACATACTGTGACGTCAATCCTTGTGATAGTGGTGGCCGGTGTGTCGACGGGATAGCTGCAGCTACTTGCCTTTGCAGCGATGGGTATTCAGGACCTCAGTGTGAAATATCAAATGATTCAAGCAACCCGTGTTTAAAAAGCCCGTGTAAACAAGGTGGTATTTGTTCCTTGAACGATACACTTTCAGTTGGGTATGAATGTGAATGCGAGCCGGGATGGGAAGGAACTACATGTGAAGAAAGCGTCGACGATTGTATCTCGTCTATTTGTTACGGTGGAGGACAGTGTGTAGACAAGCACATAACGTATATATGCCAATGTCCTCTGTTTAGAACCGGAACTAGATGTGAATACTTCCGGTCTTCATGTGAAAATGTGTCCTGCGGTTCAGACATTTGTGTTCCCATGGTTGACAGAGATGAAAGCACTTGTGCTACTGAAAAAAGTGAATTGGTCCATTTACAAGTGAGGAAAAATCAGGGTAAATTTGACAAGGAAGCTTTCCAATCCTGGCTTATTGACACGATTACGGCTTTTTACCGCCGGTCTGCCGGTGGATCTGTCGAAAAGACTAGGGTTAGGCGACAGACTGTGACCGAAACGACGGTACAAGTGTATGTAGTAGATGTACAGGAAGTACATCCTGGTCTAGTTGAAGTGGACTTCGTCGTTCTCGATAGCGCAGAGAAAGTGTATGAGGAAAAAGAGGTCTTGGCGGTCCTGTCGAATACATGTGATGAACTGAGTAAGTCAGGAAATCGGAGTTGATTACATGATAACATAATAACATAAGAAAAAAAATATCCATAAAAAACGTATTTAATTATAAATGAATGTATATCACTTTTGTTAATGTCTTTAAAACCCATTTAATCGACATACATATTATACGTATATGCTGGTCATATCTCTTAAAGTGATTGCTAAATTTATATCATGTCGCGTTTGAAAGCTTGGAAACCTATTCAATGTATTAACAGGACACATTCAGAGCGAAAGCCCTCTTCAGGCCCCATGATCATGAAACGATCTTAAGTCTAAATTTGACTTCAGTTTGGACTTAGCCAATCACAAATAACGGCATGAAAAGTGACGCCATACGTGATTGGCTAAGCAAAAACTTAAGTCTTAATTTGTTTCATGATCCCGGGGCTGATGTGTTTTATGGTTTTTCGCTACTACAGCATACTTATCATATCCATTGTCGTCAATGAAGCAAAAGACACCTACACGTCATTTCTCGTTCTCTTTCTCTTTTTTCAATGGTCCTGATGTTGAATATTTCTGTCGCTCATATTTTGTCCCAGTTTGATCGACTTTGCTATTTAACTTGGATCATTTTTTTCTGTAAACATTTTTACTTAGTGGTTATTGGTATCGTATATAAACATTTATATTATATCTAAATAGGATTAGCTCTAAGTATAAAATCACTGTTCTTCTTCGTGTTTTAGGTAGGTTTGCTGCTAAATCATGATGCGTATAAATAATGCACTGCAGCAAATATACAGAAATATAAGTGCGCTATTATAACTACGTGTACATCACTGTCTTATGGTTTTTCAGGGAAAGATCAGAATGACGAGAAAGTATTGTGTCCAGCAGTGAACAAGGCGTTGGTCAGTGACAACGGAAAGAGTACGGAGGACACTGGATCACCTGTAGGAGTCATAGCGGGAGCGGCTGCGGGTAACATAGAACACACATCCTACACAAGATCGCAGTATAGCGACAACATGGCTATAACAACAGAAAGGGAGAATGTTTTATGCGTAATTTAAGATTATCAACTGAATATTACAACAGTCTGATATACCAAAGACAATAGAAAGTAATTTATAACTCTTAGTGAACCATGGCAACACATCCAACACTTGGCAATGGTAGCATGGAAATCATTTGGTATACCGTCTGTAAACAAAACATTCAGTGCACCTGTTTAGCATGTCCTTTCATCCTTACACAATTGTATAATGTGTTTATGAATAAAACTGTCATCTGACTTGATTGTTTAATTTCCTACCAGGTGTTGTAGTATTGGTTTGCGTGGTGGTAGCTATTGTCATTTATCGGAAACGGAAACAGCGAGGCGATAGCTCGGACAAGGACACGCTAAAGTAACTGGTGGGTAAGTAATCGATTTAATATCTAAGTTATAAAAGTACTCCTATCACAACCAGAAGTTGTTTAACCTGTTACTTTATAACCTTGCTATTCACAACCAGTCATTCTCATCAGACGATTGATGCCATGTGACTTCTTTCTTTGTTGCTATGAAGGTCTATTTCTAAACATTTCCTTCAGGTTGGTAAGTATGGATTATGAAAAGATTCTTGTAACACAACCAATAAGTGTTTCTATGTGACGTTTCGATGACTAGTACGGTATATACTTAATCAACTTTGTGTACACACGCTTCATTGGTCATTTGTCTGATGAATGTGACAGAGTACATACCGTACTGGTCATCGAAACGTCACATAGAAACACTTGTTGGTTGTGTAACAAGAAACTTTTCATAATCTATGAAGGTATAATTACCAATAAAAATAATAAATATAACCCATACACGTTCCTAGGCTGTTAATAACTAAACACTTTAGAGGGTCCAAAAATGGATCGTGACCGGTTGTGCAATGCACAAACACCGAAGCGAAACGAGGTCAGTTTAAGTTCAGTTTCTTTATTACCTCAAGCCGTCAGATTCATTGTTGGAATATACAATATTAATAACTAATGCCAGCATCGTAAAATACACATAATGAACAAATCGATAATTGAATTGGAAAGCAAGCTCACAAAATACATTGTGCAAGTTATGTGACCTTTATCGGTAAAATGAGACATGACATCTGTATATTGTTCTAAAGATAACAAAATTGTATACAATTATCTTTTAGATGTTGAAATAAACAGCCCTTAGATTACCCTAACACATTCTCTCTCTCTCTCTCTCTCTCCCTCTCTCTCTCTCTCTCTCTCTCTGTGTGTGTGCAAATTCTTCAAGTCTCTGTCTTTACCTAAGGCAGTTTCTAAAAATGCTTATTTGTCTCAATTTAATCTGCGAAAACCAACCTCTCTCTCAATAAACAAGATCATTACAAGACTTTCGCTCGACTACGAACACTTTATTGCAAAAACAGTTATGACCTTTTTCTAGATGAGGAGATTGGTTGATCCCTGATTTCGGAAACATAAAGCAGATTACTTTCTACGTACAAGTCAAAAACAGAACACTCTTTCAGAATTGGTTGTATTAATGGTCATTGATAACATCAGGTATATCTTTATCGATGTAGATATGTATTATCCTTGCTAGAAGCCTTCATTAACATATCAAACAGCAGTAAATATAAATTAACACATATCGTATTGTTTTTTGTTTTTTTTAGTACGTTTCCTTCAAATATCATGGCAATAATAAACATTTTTACATTGAAATCCTCATGATTTTCCATTTCATTTCAGGTACCACAATAGCGTACGATGAAGAAAATTGTCATTTCTCTGAACTGCTGAGAATTTGTCCTGTCTGCGAACTATTCCTATCAGGTCAAAAAATTATCACTGCCATTTCTCTTGATCGTTCCTTTCCTGTCCTCCTTTCCTATCAACTGACTACTCATTTGAGGAAAACACTGGTGCACTGGACGAAGATTCGTGTTTGTAAGAATGTATTAACTGTCAATAAAGTAAATACATGAACATCGCCTAAACTTATGTTTTAAAAACATAGTTATGTCTCACATTGCGATAAAAAAAATCCAGTTCGAATGCATGACGAATATCAGTTTAGATCTTATAATTATAAACAACATATTATTTCATAAATATATATCAAATACTTGCATCGGTTCATACTATCATATAGGTAAAACGAACTACATGTATAAGTTACTATAACGACATAGAAATCACTGTTACGGACTACATGTATAAGTTACTATAACGACCTAGAAATCACTGTAACGAACTACATGTATAAGTGACGAATATCAGTTTAGATCTTATAATTATAAACAACATATTATTTCATAAATATATATCAAATACTTGCATCGGTTCATACTATCATATAGGTAAAACGAACTACATGTATAAGTTACTATAACGACAAAGAAATCACTGTAACGGACTACATGTATAAGTTACTATAACGACCTAGAAATCACTGTAACGAACTACATGTATAAGTTACCATAACGACATAGAAATCACTGTAACGAACTACATGTATAAGTGACGAATATCAGTTTAGATCTTATAATTATAAACAACATATTATTTCATAAATATATATCAAATACTTGCATCGGTTCATACTATCATATAGGTAAAACGAACTACATGTATAAGTTACTATAACGAACTACATGCATAAGTTACTATAACGAACTACATTTATAAGTTACTATAACGGACTACATGTATAAGTATTTCATAAATATATATCAAATACTTGCATCGGTTCATACTATCATATAGGTAAAACGAACTACATGTATAAGTTACTATAACGACATAGATATCACTGTAACGAACTACATGTATAAGTTACCATAACGACATAGAAATCACTGTAACGAACTACATGTATAAGTGACGAATATCAGTTTAGATCTTATAATTATAAACAACATATTATTTCATAAGTATATATCAAATACTTGCATCGGTTCATACTATCATATAGGTAAAACGAACTACATGTATAAGTTACTATAACGACAAAGAAATCACTGTAACGGACTACATGTATAAGTTACTATAACTGACTACATGTATAAGTTACTATAACGGACTACATTTATAAGTTTCTATAACGGACTACATGTATAAGTTACTATAACGGATTACATGTATAAGTTACTATAACAGACTACATGTATAAGTTACTATAACGGACTAGATGTATAAGTTACTATAACTGACTACATGTATAAGTTACTGTAACGGACTACATGTATAGGTTACTATAACTGACTACATGTTTACGTTACTATAACTGACTACATGTATAAGTTACTATAACGGACTAGATGTATAAGTTACTATAACTGACTACATGTATAAGTTACTATAACGGACTAGATGTATAAGTTACTATAACTGACTACATGTATAAGTTACTATAACGGACTACATGTCTAACCTACCCTAACTGACTACATGTATAAGTTACTATAACGAACTACTAAGTTACTATAACGGACTACATGTATAGGTTACTATAACGGACTACATGTATAAGTTACAGTAACGGACTACATGTATAAGTTACTATAACGAACTTCATGTATAAGTTACTATAACGAACTACATGTATAAATTACTATAACGGACTACATGTATAAGTTACTGTAACGGACTACATGTATAGGTTACTATAACTGACTACATGTATAAGTTACTATAACGAACTACCTGTATAAGTTACTATAACGACATAGAAATCACTGTTACGGACTACATGTATAAGTTACTATAACGACCTAGAAATCACTGTAACGAACTACATGTATAAGTTACCATAACGACATAGAAATCACTGTAACGAACTACCTGTATAAGTTTCTATAACGTCATAGAAATCACTGTAACGAACTACCTGTATAAGTTACTATAACGACATAGAAATCACTGAAACGGACTACATGTATAAGTTACTATAACGACATAGATATCACTGTAACGAACTACATGTATAAGTTACTATAACACATCGCCTAAACTTATGTTTTAAAAACATAGTTATATCTCACATTGCGATAAAAAAAATCCAGTTCGAATGCATGACGAATATCAGTTTAGATCTTATAATTATAAACAACATATTATTTCATAAGTATATATCAAATACTTGCATCGGTTCATACTATCATATAGGTAAAACGAACTACATGTATAAGTTACTATAACGAACTACTAAGTTACTATAACGGACTACATGTATAGGTTACTATAACGGACTACATGTATAAGTTACTATAACGGTCTACATGTATAAGTTACTGTAACGGACTACATGTATAAGTTACTATAACGACATAGATATCACTGTAACGAACTACATGTATAAGTTACTATAACGAACTACCTGTATAAGTTACTATAACGACATAGAAATCACTGAAACGGACTACATGTATAAGTTACTATAACGACATAGAATTCACTGTAACGAACTACATGTATAAGTTACTATAACGGTATAAGTTACTATAACGGACTACATGTATATGTTACTATAACTGACTACATGTTTAAGTTACTATAACTGACTACCTACATGTATAAGTTACTATAACGACATAGATAGAAATCACTGTAACGAACTACATGTATAAGTTACTATAACTGACTACATGTATAAGTTACTATAACGAACTACCTGTATAAGTTACTATAACGACATAGAAATCACTGAAACGGACTACATGTATAAGTTACTATAACGAACTACATGTATAAGTTAATATAACGAACTACATGTATAAGTTAGTATAACGGACTAGATGTATAAGTTACTATAACTGACTACATGTATAAGTTACTATAACGAACTACATTTATAAGTTACTATAACGGACTACATGTATAAGTTACAGTAACGGACTACATGTATAAGTTACTATAACGGACTACATGTATAGGTTACTATAACTGACTACATGTTTAAGTTACTATAACTGACTACATGTATAAGTTACTATAACGGACTACATGTATAAGTTACTATAACGGACTACATGTATAAGTTACTATAACGGACTACATGTATAGGTTACTATAACGGACTACATGTATAAGTTACTATAACGGACTACATGTATAAGTTACTATAACGGACTACATGTATAAGTTACTATAACGGACTACATGTATAAGTTACTATAACGGACTACATGTATAAGTTACTATAACGGACTACATGTATAAGTTACTATAACGGACTACATGTATAAGTTACTATAACGGACTACATGTATAAGTTACTATAACGGACTACATGTATAAGTTACTATAACGGACTACATGTATAAGTTACTATAACGGACTACATGTATAAGTTACTATAACGGACTACATGTATAAGTTACTATAACGGACTACATGTATAAGTTACTATAACGGACTACATGTATAAGTTACTATAACGGACTACATGTATAAGTTACTATAACGGACTACATGTATAAGTTACTATAACGGACTACATGTATAAGTTACTATAACGGACTACATGTATAAGTTACTATAACGGACTACATGTATAAGTTACTATAACGGACTACATGTATAAGTTACTATAACGGACTACATGTATAAGTTACTATAACGGACTACATGTATAAGTTACTATAACGGACTACATGTATAAGTTACTATAACGGACTACATGTATAAGTTACTATAACGGACTACATGTATAAGTTACTATAACGGACTACATGTATAAGTTACTATAACGGACTACATGTATAAGTTACTATAACGGACTACATGTATAAGTTACTATAACGGACTACATGTATAAGTTACTATAACGGACTACATGTATAAGTTACTATAACGGACTACATGTATAAGTTACTATAACGGACTACATGTATAAGTTACTATAACGGACTACATGTATAAGTTACTATAACGGACTACATGTATAAGTTACTATAACGGACTACATGTATAAGTTACTATAACGGACTACATGTATAAGTTACTATAACGGACTACATGTATAAGTTACTATAACGGACTACATGTATAAGTTACTATAACGGACTACATGTATAAGTTACTATAACGGACTACATGTATAAGTTACTATAACGGACTACATGTATAAGTTACTATAACGGACTACATGTATAAGTTACTATAACGGACTACATGTATAAGTTACTATAACGGACTACATGTATAAGTTACTATAACGGACTACATGTATAAGTTACTATAACGGACTACATGTATAAGTTACTATAACGGACTACATGTATAAGTTACTATAACGGACTACATGTATAAGTTACTATAACGGACTACATGTATAAGTTACTATAACGGACTACATGTATAAGTTACTATAACGGACTACATGTATAAGTTACTATAACGGACTACATGTATAAGTTACTATAACGGACTACATGTATAAGTTACTATAACGGACTACATGTATAAGTTACTATAACGGACTACATGTATAAGTTACTATAACGGACTACATGTATAAGTTACTATAACGGACTACATGTATAAGTTACTATAACGGACTACATGTATAAGTTACTATAACGGACTACATGTATAAGTTACTATAACGGACTACATGTATAAGTTACTATAACGGACTACATGTATAAGTTACTATAACGGACTACATGTATAAGTTACTATAACGGACTACATGTATAAGTTACTATAACGGACTACATGTATAAGTTACTATAACGGACTACATGTATAAGTTACTATAACGGACTACATGTATAAGTTACTATAACGGACTACATGTATAAGTTACTATAACGGACTACATGTATAAGTTACTATAACGGACTACATGTATAAGTTACTGTAACGGACTACATGTATAAGTTACTATAACGAACTACATGTATAAGTTACTATAACGGACTACATCTATAAGTTACTATAACGAACTACATGTATAAGTTACTATAACAGACTACATGTATAAGTTACTATAACGGACATGATAGATACACATACAACCAGCGTGAAGTTGGTTACTTATTCAATATTGGACTAGCTCAATATTTGGCTGTCCCAACGTTGGGCTGGTCAAATATTGCGCTAGTTTGATATTCAAATATTACTAACATAATAGGTCGTATGCCACTTTTTCACACTTATACCACAACTGGACATCTTCTAAGGTATCCACATGCAAAACGGCATCAACGACACCCTACGCTAAAGTTCAGTACAGAATCGGGTTTTTTTTATTTTTATCTAGCTCCCCACTTTCTCTAATTCCCTTAATTAAAAACGGTTCCTACCTGTGTAACTTACGTTATATTTCACTTTGACAATCATTCCTATATGTGTATAAGGACGTCAGCTACCTCACTTTGTTAGAAAATTATCGTACCTTTACTATTGATCTTATCAATTGTTTTCGGTGTTTTTCAAACTCAGTCAGTTCTCTTTAGGTGCGATTTTCTTTTATAATCAAAGTGTAGCGACCGCCCGAACATCCTCATTGGTACGCATACATACGAAAAGATTACAGAATTACTTGCCATATGCTGCACTTGAGTTTTTGTCGCCCGGAACTAAAACTTCAATGAATGGCAGTTTCAACATATACATTTATATATGTACATATCCCGTCGTAGGGAGTCAAATTTTCCCTTCCAGACATCATGACAAAATATTCGTTTTAGCGAGTCAATCACTGTGACTTATCATTTAAATGCTAATTAAGGGGATCGATGACCGCATCACCAAGATCTATCGCGTCTCATGTCATATGATGATGAAAACCTGCAAAGGATCGATCCATCGCGTTCCTTGGTGATCTGACCCTGCTAAGATTTGCTAACGCTGAGCAGAGTTTACCTGTGCACGATAGATGATACAAACAATGTAAAGCACGTAGTACATACATAGCCCAGTGTTCTCGTACAATAAAAAAACGTATTTGTTACGTTTAGTATTTACATGTAGAAAACATTTCAATACAAAATACGAAGCAGAAATTTCATTATCGTTTTTTTTTGTATTCTCCCGAGCGTATCCGAGAGATGACAACTGTACCTAGGGGAGATAAAATACCAAAAATCGAGAATAATATATTTGTTTTGGATTTTAATTGTATATCTTTCAATTCAGATTTTGATATGATATAGCGCAGTATGATTTTAAATAGTTCATAACCTAATAGGGATATTTGCTTGCTCAAAACTGCATTCATGGATTAACTTACCATGAAAACATAAACTTTCAGACAAAGCTCTGAAACTGAATACATCGTGTTATCAGGCTTATGAATAGTTCGTAAAAGTCTACAACACATATTGTAGTGAATAGATACATATCAAAATGTTGGAAATACCCAATACTAATGAGTGGGAAATATTTCATTTTGTGTCTGATAAAAAAACAAGCAGTCATTTTGGATTTTAACAGTTTAAGAATATTATCACAATTTCCAAGGACACACTTTCTCATAATGTATTAGAAGGTTATATGATATTTTTTTTAATGTTGCATATGAGGTCTAACAATGTGCCCTTCCTTATCGAAAAAATAGACCTGAATTCGAAAAAGTGCCAAGTGGGCATCTTTAGCCTGGGATATCGTTCATGCCGTTTTGTATGTTGATACCTTAGAAGATGTCTTGTTGTGGTATAGGTGTGAAAATGCGGAATAAGACCTATAACAATATGCCCTGGCCTGTTGAAAACGAAATATTAACGATTCTATACTGAAATTCTAAATGATGCCCAGTAGGCATCTTCAGCCTGGGATATAGTTGATGCCGTTTTCTATGTGGATATCTTAGAAGATGCCCTGTTGTGGAATAAGTTTGAAAAAGCAGCATTAGACTTATTACGTTAGAAACATTTGAATATCAAACTAGCCCAATATTGAATAAGGAACTAACTTCACGCTGGTACACATACATAGGTACAAACATATTCAATAATCAAAACATTGCAAATTACTTACTATCAAGTCGTCAAAATAATAAAAAGGACGCAAGCCTATAGCGTGAAAGGGTGCAATTTCTAATTGTTTTTCCTTGTGACATTGAAATGTTCTTTGCAAATTAGAGTTACCGATTTTGTATTTTATTACAGAGGTAGAACTTATGGTATCCTTCTGGGGTTAAGGATTTAAGAATTTCAGAAAACTTTTCGATGATTCATTTAAGACACGGATCTACAAATCCGTCTTTATGTAAATATTTCAATAATATTGGTTTTGGTTTTTTAAAGGATTCTCATCAATATAGTTCTAATGACCATTGAACTGGCAAGATCACTGATTTTGGATTGTGGAAAGGTTTGTATAAACCAACAAGCCAGGTGCTAATGTGTGAATTATCGATAACCAGTACGGCATGTATTGTCACCTTCATCAGAGGGCCTGTATCACTCACCTGAAGAGTTTGACATATTTGACCGCTTCAAGCAGTCATAGCAAAATATTCTCATTAAATATTATATTGCACTACAAATATTTCCCTCGCAAACTTTGTCGGCTCCATCTGTGGAAACTACCAGCCAAATATTATTATCAAATTCTATGCTTTTTGGTTCTTCTTCAAAAGTTGTTCGACATATTTTTCCCTGTGACCTTGTAAGTAGGTCAATTACCTTGTCATTTTCCTTCTCAAACTTTGTTAGCTCTATCCCAAGAAGCTACCAACCAAATCTTATGAATCCATTTCTTTTGGTTCTTCAGAACAAATTCTTTAAAATGTTGTTGACCTCTGTGACCTTAAAAGCAGGTTGAGGTCATTTTCATTTGCAAACTATGGTGAGCTCTATCCCAGGAAGCCACCAGCCAAATATTATTATTTTATGCCTTTCGATTATTCAGAAGAAGTCGTTTGATGTTTTTGTCATATTTGACACCCGTGACCTTGAAAGTAGGTCAAGGTCATTTTCATTCTCAAACTTTGTTGGGCTCTATCCCAGGAAGCCACCAGCTTCTATACCTTTTAGTTCTTCAGAAGACGTCGTTGGAAGCGTTTGACATATTTGACCGGTGTGACCTTGAACGTAGGTCAAGGTCATTTTCGTTCTCAAACTTTGTCGGGTTTCTACCAACGAAGCTTTCAGTCAAATATCATGCACTTCGGGCAGGTGAGCTAAAAACATGATTTAGTTATGTGGCATGGTCTGTGATTGCCAATTGATTGATCTGATGAATTTCTTTCCATCCCGGTCTTCAGTATTTTTGAAATATTCACAAAGTCAGACCCCAGATTTGGCCCGATTTCTTAAGGTTGTTTTTTAACGATGTACCAGGGAATTACAAGCGTCTCCTGTGGCTCCAAGGCTGTTACCATGCCATTAACGAGATATATCCTCTGGATGGTTTCAGATATTCTTTTTATATACGGGAGGACCACCTCACCATTCATTTAGTTCTTATCCTCGATTGACCTTTTCTGTTCTTCCCCTTACTTTGACATTGTTCTTGTACCCTTTTAAGGCTCATTTCGGAAATCCACATGCTTTCATTGTTCCAGCGCTGTGAAATTTGCATTTCACCTATTGAGCAAAGTGCGTCCTTCACCAAACTTTGTGGGCAAAGTATAGTGAGATTTGAAGTTAAGGTCTGTAATTGTCTGCTGAAGGTGACAGAGTACATTCTCTACTAATCATCGAAACGTCATACATAAACAATGAACTGATTGTGTTGTATGAACCTTTCTACAATCCATTTTTTATCAATGTAAGAAAATGGTAAGAAATTTATTTTCGCCTTTCAGTCTTAATGCAAATGAAAAATCAAAGACCAAATGTATTGTAGAAATGAATCTTTTATTGGCAGACATAATAGACACAGGAGAATGGTGATGGGCGGTAGACAATACAATGGTTACAGACACTGACACCTTGGGCGACCATTCTACGGCTACCCCAGACATATTAGGGATCTATTCACAAAGCATATCAAATACCAATCCTCCTCAATTACAGCATGGATTTCATTGTTTCATTTTATTTGATGAATTTGTTCCCTTGTCTCTTAACTGAAATTGCTCCATCATTTAATCAATACAAGGAGCACAATAAATATTTATACAATTTTCATAAGCATTCTATAATAGTTTTGCTTTCTTGTGGTAAATTGGAGAATATTCATATTTCTTGGATTATCTAGTTTAGAAGTGAATTGAAGAATATTCATATTTCTTGGATTATCTAATTTAGAAATAAATTATTAAGTCAATGATTGTGTTTTAAAAGACAATAGTATCACCTGTAACCTTTCCTGTTTGCACAGGTAAATCTGTAACGTATCAAACATGCAAGCGGTATACATTTACAGCACAAGCATCATCTAGTCATGCTATTTACAGCTCGTGTCATTCTAATGGCAGTTGACTAGTAAATTTATATACAGCTACATAATTTACTACAACCTCATTCTGACAAAAAAACACAAATCTGTACATATTGTTTAAGTATGCATAAATAACTTTTAAATAATGAACTTCATAAATTATGTGTTCCATTTTTTTCATTTCGTTATGAATTTATACATTTAATAACATTGAATAATAAAAATATGTTTTTCTGACGCCTTTTCTCGCATATACATTTATGAAACAGTGACCAAAAGGGTCCATCGCTCACCTGTTTGTAGACCATTTATTGCTTTTATGAATTGCTAGGAGCTTCAAATCAGTGGCAATGAAATTATTGTTAAACAAGATGTGTTAGATATAATATTTCTTAAGTTTGAACATAGTTCATTTGTTTGGATTTATATTAATTTGAATCTGTTCTGTACTTTGTAATTAATAACAGTTCATCTGTATCGCAGAGTATCTATAATTCTGCATTGAAATACCTTGACAACATCATTTACCATTTAAGAAATTGCTCGAAAACATTGACGAGTTGGATTTGCGCCTTGGCATGAACTTACTAGGCTCTCTATGGCTCTAGAAGTATATGTTAATGACTGCATATTGGATTACTATCAGAGTTAATTTCCATGTACATTAAAATCTCCCATTAGTCTACAAATGAAGTAATGAAAACATTTTAAACAATTAACTCCCCGCAAGAACTCTTCCTGTTTAACCAATGGAATTTTAATCCAACAAAAAACCTTAAAAATGATAAATATATATATAGCATATATATTTGGAAACATGAATGAATCTTAAAAGTTTTTAAATGATAGATCGTGAGTGAAAGCATTACTACCGTAAAAGTAAGGAACATAGATGTATTGGAATATCTACTCCTGGACTTTGGCACATCACAAATTATATCAACTCACCAAACAACTAAGCAAGTAAAATAGTTAACCTAAACATTGACACTCTAGACTGTCACTATTCAGTTAAGGATACCATCAACTGGACACATCATAACACCACTACAATTTCTTTTTTCAAAACGACTGACACTTATCATTATTTTGCATTATCTGCCATTAAGCTACATAACACATTTCATCCAGTCTTTGCGAAGAAAAAACTGTTTGTGCATTTTAAGGAAAAACTTTAACAAGGAGTATTGAAGTTAAAAGATCTCAAACTAAATTGAGATTACAGAGATTCTTTATTTCATTCCATTGACCTGCTATTTGTCATGAAGAAGCACTTTGTTTCTATAATCTATGTATATCTCAAAGGCAAACCAACCTACTTGTCGGGGAAATACCACCTGTGCTGTATCTACAGTATAGTCTGTGTTTGGCTTGAGTGTAAAGTTTACACCTATATAGCCTCCATCCCTATTTGTCCACCGCACACACACAACATCAACAGGTTAGACTCATTTCTATTTGTGTACATAAGTGAATATATGTCCAATAATGTAATAGCAAACACAGACATAGGATTATCAGATATGTAGTGAACCAATTATGCAAGACAATCCTAGCATACCATTTCAATATCATATTAAATAGTATTAGTTAACTAAGCTCTGACACTTTATACAAAACTGAAATAAAAGCATGGTTGAACCATTGTTGATTTCCCTGCTATGCCCCGTGAAAAGCAAATGCTATGCCATCCCATTGATGTCAGCTTGAAGTATTAATGATCTATCATATTAAGTCTTAACATTAAAACATACAGGAAATTCTAAAGTGAGTACCGTATATTATTGTATCTGTAAAGCAATATAATCTCTTCCCTTGACTCTGAAGGGGAGTCCTAAGTTAATGACAAAGATTTTAACACAAAAGACAATAGAAGGGGGATGGGGGAATTTGCTTACAAAGGAAAGCAAATTTATCCATGTTTTCTTCCAATAGATTGATAACATTACCTTTTTAAAGCATGAATTTTTATCTTAAGTTAATGACTTATTTTTTTCAGAAATAAACCCCCCCAACAAAATACAGATGGACAACAGGATTGCTATAGCAGTTTCACAGTCAAGCAAGATTCTATGCTGTACCTATACCTAACAGACAAATGCACAATTTCACATGAGTCCAGTGTTTGTGGGCCAGAGACTACAGAGTGTATTGTGAAAAACAGAGACAGTAAATTCATTTCATTTAGAAGTGTATTCCAGATATCATAAGATTTGTACGTTTAGTTGCATCAAGTTCTCCCTAAATGGAATATCAGTATCGAGATCATCACAATTGTAAAAGATGATGTACATTCCTGTTTATCTATTCCTTTGTCCAAAATGTAATAATTCAGAAGCAGGAAGTTGTTCTTTTAAACAATCAATATTTTCTATATTCTACCTTGCTTTCATATAAAAAATGATTTTAAACAGAATGAAAAATGTTAAAGTTACTAATCCATTGATGACAACATCTTCTTTGGGAATTTAAAAATAATCAATACATAAGTAAATGGTGGTTACATACAGCCATTATCAATGTTAACAATATTGGATTGATGACACAAAATAATGTAAATACTTAGTGTTACATTCTATACTGTTAGTTGTTTTTGTTATAATATGAAACCATTAAGCATATGTAAGAATTTAATGTCTATATATTGATGGTTGGTCAGAATCTGGTTTGTATGACAATGACATATGGTGACCCACAGTCCTGAAATAATTCAAGGAGCTCAATAAATGAGACAAAAGACTTCATACATACACCAAAAACTTCTGTGTATCTACCATAGCTATATATTATTTTATCAGATTGTTGTTTAACTAAATATCAAACTCTATTAAAACAATGTTCTGAGCAAAAATTGATTTATATATAATTAGCTGAACACGTGTGCAGAATAAATGTAGTTATCCTTTTATTATTTCTTCAATATCAGTTATGGTCGCTACGCTACATTGATGTGCATTTCTTTGTGTAAAATTCAATATAATTTCAAATAACCGATTTTAGCAATTACTACAAATTATCAGTCACCGAGTGTAAATTACTACATCAATGACAGTGGTTTACAAGAGATTGTGTACATTATCATTCATTTTAGTTTATATACTAGTTAAGTAAAGTGTTGGTACATTAGTGTGTAAAACGTTGGCCCCATATGACCCTTGTGAATTCCATTTCATGATAAAGACAGAAATATTTTTTGTTGCATATTTGGAAAAACAATCAACATATGCATTGAAATACACTTGTACTGTGTAATATAAAATAATTGCCCTCCCTCTGATCAGTGAAAGAACAAAATCAGGTTGTTTATTCTTTCAAGTTCTTTTCTAAGAGGGGAAACAGCAAAATTACAACTGAGGCAAAATACCATTATTGCCAATTGTGCTGTTCATTATATATGTTGATATTATGGTACAGGTACATGTAGACGAAATCCAACTAAAACCCTCTTTCTGACATAAACACTCAATTATATACTACATGTAGTACACATTCAGTGTTCAGGTTCTAAAGAAAAGTACAATAAACACTTCGAACAAGCATTCATGAAATATACTGAGTACAGATAACTTATAAATATTATTTTGAAATTTCATTCTTTATAAAAACTTGTTAAATGAAAAGTAGCAATGAAAATATTAAATACATATTAAATAGACTCTACTTTTCTTGAAGAATACATTTCTTTCATTTCCTTCTTAATGCAGACTGAAAAGCACATTAGTTTACAATAGATTTATATCCTCAAAACACAATTTGGTTATAGGTGGAATAAAGCTTAAAAAGATCAAATATACTACACTGTTTAAACCTTCACCATAATACCATCAACTAACTTAACCTCTTTGAAGATTAGACTGAATAGTCAAGGGGCATGTGTATCTGTTATGTTCAAGGATCATAACATGGAATCATCCTGCTTTACAGCACAAGAAAAAAAAAAAATCACAGTTTTAGCTAAGTTTTGTAGGGATACATTAAAAGAAAGGAAATAGCACTAGGTTTAATATGGTAACAGATAAACAGCTAGTGTATAATGAGTAGCATCTACCTGGTAAGGAGACACCTAACTGTTTCATAAAAACACTAGGGAACAAGCTGCCCTTGAGCTCCTACATTGCATGATTAACTAATGACAGTTTTTAAATTAACATTTCCACAACTGCAAATCAGGTATCCGGCCCTATATGACCATCTGATGAAGGTGACATCTCAACTTTATTCACACACACACTCAAACATTTCTATATGTACACACAATACATTTGCACACATTGAGGATTTCTACACCTTTTGTTCGATTCAGGATACAGTTAATAAATCATACAGCCATGATTGATAGAAAGTAAGAGGTAGATACAAGGATGCCGTACAGAAGGTAATTCAACTTTTCCCCATTACTATATTAGTCTGGTCTATTTTGTCATTAACTAATTTCCTATATGATATTATTTCCTTTCCTGTTTGTCGTAAATCGAGTTGATTATAAGCTTTTAACGTCAATAAAACAATAACAAATTTTCTGCAAATACGCCCACAACTTTGAAATATCTAGCACTAGTGAATGAAGCCAAGATACACAAGCTGCAATGACAGAACTCGGAACAAGTTTTCAGTGAGTATAAGGAGATGTAGCAGTTGGTGCCTCCTCACATACAAGAAAGCTGTACAGTTACGACAGCTGGTGCTGACTATCCTCTACATACAGAAACACTATACAAGGACATCTAACTGCTCACGGGTCTCTAGACAGTCATGATGAGTATGGTCCTCAATGTTGTTCAGCTTCCACGTGTTATGTAGGGGGGGATAACACATGACACAGTTTGTACTTACTGTTACATAAATACAGGTAAGAAACAATTTGTTATGAATGTTTTCATGAAGTCTTATAGTACACTAATTATCATACACTTCCTCCACTGCGTCTCATCACCTCCCAGTTTTCACTGGTCCAAACTTCTCACAACAAATGAGGTGACGACAATGACAATGAAGATGAATCAAATGATTATGTGTTGATGTAAGTCCTCGCCTGCGCCAGTTCTCCTTGTAGCTGCTTTGGCAGTTCACACTTTCAAAGGAAGATTTGTCTTATTACAATAGTTCTACAAAATTCTCTCCTGTCATACGAACACTTTAGCTAAGGCGTCTGCCCCTGCACTGGCTATGTACGGCTTCGATGGATGGAAAGCTACATCATATATTGACTCATCAAACTTCTTCCTATGGGCAGTTATTTCTTGTACACACGTCTTACTGTCCAAATTCCACAGCCTTATTGAACAGTCATGACCTGAAAACAATTCAATCAGTAAGTTACAATCTTGCACATACATCGAGTAGTTATTAGTATTGGTACAACTATATTAAAACAGGCTTGATATTAACTCTGTCATCGTGATATCTTACTTATAATGTCACACTGGAGTCCTGGGGTTCATAATTGATTTAATTGTCTGCTGCAAATATTGTTATATGGCCAAAACTCATATAGGCTTGTTGTTCAATCCATTTGTTGAATATATTTAACAAGAGAAATAAATTTAGAAATTAATATTTTATTGTACTAGTTGATATATATTCAATGTGATTTCAAACTACATTTTGAGGACATATATTTATAACTCAAAATCTAATCCTGTCTCAATCAATATACCAGTAAAAGTTTAGTGTAGACACAATAACTCAACTTTTGACAGGAAACAGATTTACAAGTTTCCAAATCTTTTACATAATAAAGAATTGTAGAATACATGATACTTACTTCCTGATAGCAAATATAATCCATTGGGATCAACCGCTAAACTGGTAACAGCATCTAAATGTGCTACCATTGAATGGATCATTTTACCTGTAACAGACAGGAAATATTAACATCATATAAGAGAAACCACAGAAATTGACACCAAACATTTACTAGAAATTGTAGGCTAACAATTTGACGGGCTTTTCACCGTTAGAACTGATTTAGGTTTGATCGTGGTCTTTTGCTTCTAACAATTAATAAATATTTCTGAAAATTTTCATTCTTTGAGTAAGAAAATGTTCAGTGTTTGTAGTCCATGAGTATTCAGTTTAACCAAGTATCAGGCATGAACTTGTGTAAGTCCACAGTAGCTGAGCGAGTAATGGGGGATTCCCAGAGTGTGAAAAGATGTCAGAGAAAGAATGGATTAATATAGGCAGCTAATGGGCGGTGTTGTATATGAAGGTAGTCCCTAAAGATCATATATTATATATAATAAAAAGGGATTAAATGTCCATGTGAAGGAAGTAAATATAGAAAAAATATGATTAACGACCGACTAAAAAACTAGCTGCTTTCACCCTTCACAGGGCTCTTCAGAAGAGCCCTTTGAAGGGTGAAAGCAGCTAGTTTTTTAATCGGTCGTTAATCTTATTTTTTCTATATATATATATAGGCCTTCAACTATGTACATCAAGATGATGAGTTGAGACTTGCATTTGATCTATATCGGTTGGGTTTGCCATTGTAAAGAATGGCTGACGATCCCCACCACAGTAGAAATGTAAACTATCCATATTTTTAAGATAGAGAGGGGGTAGTAATTGATGACATATTACCAGTGTGTATTAGACTTGCTCCAGTTAGGAACGTTTCTCGGCGGTAAGGTTTTGAGATCAAAGGAAATATTCAAAATGGCGAAGGATGTTAACAGTACATGTTACAGATGAACTGAATAAATCAAATTCATCGGAATAAAATTTCCCGTTGACTTCAAAAAGATTTTTTTTCAAATCTTGAAAAATAAAGAAGCTGAAAAATTGATGACCTTTGACCCAACAGCAAGGATTTTTATTTGACCTTTTTTGCATTAACATGTCATCAGAAAAAGTTGGCCTAAAAGAATATCTACAAATGATATAAATGCATGAAAACTGTTTAATGAATAGTTTTTGAGTTATGACCTTTTTAAGATTTTGATGTATGATGTGATGGCTGCCATATTGGATTTTTGACTTACTTGAAAATGTTGCAAAACAATAGGTCTGTTCACCATTAGTGCAAAGCCCTAACAAACATTAACTTATATAAGCCATTACTAAGGCATAAAACCCAAATAGATCAACAGGTGTCTAGTCCTGATATGCTTGTGGGTACAGAAATATTCTGGGTTACTTTAAATGACACCTCATATTTTGATTCAAAGATTAAAGTTTCAACACGTGGAATGTTAATGAATCAAATAAACTGTGTTTTATCAGTACAGTCACACTTACCTGTGTTATTGTCAAAGAATCTAATGTGCCTGTCTTCATGTGCAGTGATGGTGACGGGAAGTGTTGGGTGATTGACCACTTTGTTGATCTGATTACTTACTCCAGCATCTGTACCAAAGCAAAGGTCATTGTAGCAAACGTATGGGTGGAGAACTTTAAACTCTACCATAAAAACCAGTCATACATATCTTGTCATATATATATAAAAAAAATCTTCTACCAACTTCAATCAAACAATTTTCACTGATCTAAAATGTTTCTGGTTCTTTATAAAGATGTTCTGTATACTGGAAATTATTTGCAGCAGTATAATTTACCTTTCATATTGAGGGCGAACTGATTATAGCTGTTATTTTAGTACACAGCTTACACTACACAATTTTTCTACTGTGATTATTAGTGTAAAGCTTAAATGTACTAACATTTAATGTCTTCTATGAATGGGAACAACTGTATCATAGATTGACTTCTTTTGCCTATATACACTATACCTTGGTTGATCTTCGTTTCTAAAGTGAGGACTTGTTTGCCACTCTCTATATCAAATATGTACGTATTAGAGGAGGAATAGGATGCCACCATCTGACTTGGATCACAACGCACAAAGTCAACAGAGGTTGGAGCACCATCTTCTGCAAGGTGAAAAGAAAATCATATCATTAATGAAGTCATATACCATATTAAGTTACTTCAATTTTTCCTAATTCTGTATAATGTTGACCTACAATATCAAATACTATCAAATGTCCTAGACTTCATGGCCCAATAGAGACAGGTGTAACATTAGACTTGAATCTCTCCTTACAACACAGTCAATAATCAGGAGATTGTACAGCTTGGCTAAGTTTTGGCAAATGCGAATACACTTTGTACTAACTCCCCTCCCCTCTGTGAACTTGGGGAAAAGAAAAGGTTAAACTGTGTACTAACTCCCCTCCCCCTCTTCGAACTTGGGGAATAGAAAAAGTTAAACTGTGTACTAACTCCCCTCCCCTCTGTGAACTTTGGGAAAAGAAAAGGTTAAACTGTGTACTAACTCCCCTCCCCCTCTTCGAACTTGGGGAATAGAAAAAGTTAAACTGTGAACTAACTCCCCTCCCCTCTGTGAACTTTGGGAAAAGAAAAGATTAAGCTGTGTACTAACTAACCTCCTCTCTGTGAACTTGTGGAAAGGAAAAGGTAAAACTTTGTACCAACTCCCCTACCCTCTGTGAACTTGGGGAAAAGAAAAGGTTAAACTGTGCACTAACTCCCCTCTGTGAACTTTTAATTGGAGAAAAGAAAAAGTTAAACGGAACCATTGTGAAGGATTAAAGGTCCCTAAAATAACCATTTTACTTTTTTACACTTTAAACTAACCGTCATCAACTGTAAATGTGTTGAGCAGAGGTGTTTTACTCCCAGGGCTCCATAACCGAACAGTTCCATCTGCTGAACAGGACAAAAGCTGCATCTTGGAGGTATGTATTGACAGTCCCCACACAGCGTCCGTGTGGGCCTGAAGTGTGTCTGACAGCACGGTCGGCTCTGTAACAGTGGAACAACACATAAGTACAACCTGCCTACATACACACAAGAGTTTTGTAAATATTACCCGAGACCTACAAGGATTCTTGCTTCTCTATGTACAAAATCCAAATTTTTATTAGTTTTGGACAACAATGTGGATATTTTTAAAATCAATATGATAAGAAGCTTTCAGTGATTTCAATACACTGTGTCATATAGCGTGCTAGCTGTCAAAAGAATTTTAATACAGGACTTGGGGAAAAGATATATCAAAGTGTGTGCCCAATCAACAACATCACATTTAGTGCATGCACAGGAAATCTACATGTACAGTAGAACAAACAGAAGAGTGTACAAGAAAACACAAGAGGTTCACAGGGCCTGTATTGTTAACATGTTATTTAATGCTGTTGGCAAACATTTATCACATCTGTGACCTTCAAAGTATGTAAAAGTCAAACTAATTAAACAAAGTTGAAAGCAAGTAAGCTATCAATAGAGGTCATAGATTTCAAACAATTTGCCCCATGAAATTGAACCCTTCATCCCATCATGCCACAGGCCAAATATCATGACCCAAGACTTCTTGGTAATTCAAAGGAAGTTGTTTAACAGTTTTAACACACTTAACCTGTGACCTTAAAGTGAGTCAAGGTCATTTACTTGAACAAACTTTATAACCTAAAATTCCAGCAAGCTACTGGCTACACAATATAACCCTATGCCTCTTGGATTTTTAGAAGATATTAAAAAATTAATGTCAGTGGGGTGGACAGATGGACTATGGCCCATCTCGTAAGCCAAATGCAATTTGTGCCAGATAATTTAATAAAAAGGTGGAAACTTGTTGGCCCAGATATTGAGATTTCCTTCTTTTTATATGATTTTTTTTTCTTATTCTTTTTTTTTGGCCCAATTTTTAGTTTCTACTTTCATGTAACAAGTTAGAAACATTATCGAAAATAAGTCCATCAATAGCCATAAAACAATACTCTAGCCATTAACAAGGTTCTAATGCATACACTTATTTACAACACAGACAATTACACTTATTTACAACACAGACAATTACACTTATTTACAACACAGACAATTACAGTTTTTTTACTAAATAGACAAGTACACCTGACAGATCACACAAAGACAGTGACACTTAAACATGTAACACAAAATCACAGTTAACGACCTATATAATTGGATTATTAAATTTGGTGAAATAAAATCATATTTGGAGAATATTGGCATAATATCATGGTGGGCATATAATCAGGTTAAGGATTAGGAAGAACAAGGCAAAATATTACAGGGAAATCTTTAGTCCCACCAACTGGATAACAGGCAACATTCAAAATTCTTTATACAAGAGATTGTACTCGTTTGCTGTTCAAAATGTTTCAATGATGAGTTCAGACAGAAAGATTGTCAAAGGAATACAAGATTATCGTAAGAGAAGAATTATAGACAATTATGGAAAGGGAGATTAACATGGAGAGCAAACAAGGAAAACAAATTGTGGCACACTTACTGTCTACAGCATGCATAGATGGCCCGTCACCCAGCACTCTTGCCTAGCCTACAAGTGCCGGAAGGACTGCTGGGGGAAAGGAAGCTGGGCCTATGAGTTACATACCTGAACAATACTTACCAAATGAGTCGTACGGATCAATATTGGAACTTGGTATATTCCAACACCTGATAGAGGAGTCTTGGCCACCACTGAAGCACTGCTCTCCTGTGGCACTTACAGCTAGACACAGTACAGGGCCAATGTGTGCCCTGAAGGTGTAAACTGGTTCTACGTCTAGGGAAGCCGCTCTGTTAAACACAAATGTCACACATCTGTTAAACACTTTTTGTTATAAAGCTCATTAAATTAGAAGACTAACAAACATCCATTTCAGTTCAACGAGTTCAAGTAAGGACAAATTAGTATTTTGGAATGTACATTTCATAGATGAACTATTTATAAATAGCATTTGACAAGTTTCTAATAATGCTAAACATGATGTTATCAAACAACCATTTGCCTTTCTGTACATGTACTTACTTTTTGGCTGGGACTGTCTTTTGTAGATTCCATAACTTTAAAGTGTGATCTTCTGATCCCGTAATTAACACTGGTTCTACTGGGTGGAATGCTAGAGCACGCACACCATCGAAATGACTGTAAACAAAGCAGAGTACATTAGAAATCACAACACCAAAATGACTACCAAAGCGAGGGGGAATGATATTGCTGCAATGACTAACAAAGTGATGTTTAGTTATTAGAGATCTCACCATCAAAAACGGTGGAAAGCAATATTCATGAGAAATTAGACAATCAAAATCACTAACAAAGCAATTATGATTAGAAATTTCACCATGTCAATGACTAACAAAACAATGTATATTAGAAAGTATACCACAGATTGACCATAAAAAAGAAGGCAACTCATTCTTTAATGTCTATTTTTCCCATAAACATTTTATGTTTCTCAATCCAGAACCATTGGATACACCTGCAAGAAGTTGGTCAACATTTCATATTACCTGTATAGTAAAAGGTAATAACCTTCATATGATCTTATTAGACAAGTCTTTAATTATGATGTCATTTATTAGTGTTGTGTGCTTGCATCTTCCACTGTGATGTGGAGATTCATGACAATTGTTTCTATCATTGGAAACAGGAATTGTCCATATCCAAGAAAACCATGATTTTCCACAAACAAATATGAACATTATGGAAAAATGGTCATCTAACTCATGATGGCTGGTAAGCATGCTTATTTGACTCTCATTATTTCATTCTCAAATTGCTAAAGAAAATGTTTAGTTAACCTTGTGTGTTTAAAACTAATTTACTCAAGTTAGATAAACATGATAACCAACCATCACTTACATTGTATTAAGGAACTTCTTTTCTACTTTTGCAAACAAAATACCCCAAATGTATGGTAGTGTAACAGTGGCACTGTCATCTTTGAAAAGATTTGCAACAAGAACAACTTACCTTCTTAATGTGTATTTTGCATTCCATGTTTTTCTAAAAACTTCTTTTGGGGTAGAAATCTGTATCAAAAAGAAAAAGGACAACTGTTAAGACTATTATCCAAATTATATGATAATCCTCAAAATATATAAGAAACAAACCTGCTGAATGATTTTTTCAGAATGAAAGCTTTGCACACTATCAAGCACTACGGGAATGGAATGCAATCAAACAGACAGAATTAAAGTTTGACAATGACCTGACATTACAATTTAAACAGAAGTCTACTAAAACAATGACTTGCACAGCCAGAGAGTGAAAGAGCCATTGGTAGTCCCACAGTTCTACATGCCCACCACCAATGACCTTTCTTGTGTACAACTGGTATGTCGAGTGTCAATAACAATACTGTGGGAACATAATGTGATCTACTTACATTGTCATAACTTAGAGGGTCTGCGTCATTAGAGACAGTGAGACTGGCGAGCTCTCCCAGTCCCAGGGCCTCCAGGGATTCCTCCTCTGCCCCAGACCCAATGATCTGTTTCCTGTTCCCAGTATTGTTGAATGGCAGAGAACCACCCCCTTGCATACCTATAGATTGTACAATATATCAATTTTCACAAATTCTTTTATGTCTATTGCAATAATAGTTCATGTATACCAAACATTTATACCATGTACCAGAACCAATGAGCTGTTAGTTTGCTAGTAGGATATATTCTCAAATTTTGTCATATTTCAAATAAGCCAAACAAGTTAATAAATGGTAGTAACGACAAAGATGTTATTAATATCTCATCTGATACATGTTTTTTCATATGACCTCAAATTAAGTCAATCAATATTTATGAATGTAAGTCTTACCCTTCTTTAATCATGTGGTAAGCTAAGTCAACAGTATCAAACGGAGCAAATTTTATATCAACAACATTTATGCATGACACAAAATTCACATATGAAATTTACTATCACATTGTTTTCCAAAAAATGACAAAAACATTCAACAAATAATAGCAAATGAAAACAAATAACGCCTATAACAAAGCATAACTGGCTTCATGCATGTTTTAATTAACCAATGGTAACCAAACAGTAAGAAATTAATGGAGATGTATTCATGTAAGCTCCTGTGTATTACCTAGGCTTGTGACTGAAGCAGGTAGCTATATAGGTCAACAGTGTCCAGAAGCCATCACTTTCACCATTACCAAATCATCTTAATATCTCAACCCATACTCATTTTGAGTAATTCGTACATGAACTATTATTACCATGTAAAAATTGTGAATTAGACATATAAAACTCATATTCCAACACATCAAATCAACTAGCTCTTGATTTTTTTTAAGTGTCATGAATTTTTATTTGTGTATAATATAACCTAAAGGAAAACATTTTTCTAAATGAATTTGAGTTCAGTCTGTAATATTTAACTTTTAAATGGTTCTAACAAGATGACATTTTATACCATGAACTTGAATCTAAATACGAAAGTTTTTCCCAAAGAGACAAAATGTAATGAAAGATAATGGTCTCTCAGTTCCAGTACCCTACCCCATCTCAATTTGGAGAAACATCATGAATATGTCAGGTTCAAATTTGGTATAAAATCATTTTGAATATACTAATCAAGTAGTTGATTAATACATTAACTTGTTGACATCACTGTTTGACCCTTCTGTGACATCAGAAGTATACCCCAATCAATGGTGAAAGGTGGACACACTGCACGTGTGTGCTCACTGGGTTAATACTGGTTAGTTTTTCAAGTACAACATTATTTCTAAATACAAATCTACTTGCAAACAAGACCACATGGTATGTTGTCTACCTAGATCAAGACTGTAATTCATTCATGAACTTGTGACAGAAACAAGAAATCCAACTTTACTACAGGTATCAAATAATGGTGTTGCAAATTCAGAATTCCGCACCATATGGGATCGCAATAATTTATTTTTTGTTTGATCATGAAATATAAAGTTTCTCTTGATTTTTTTAAAAATATATTCAGATGAATTTATTTTTGCTAACATTCAACAAAACAATTCTCTCACAACTTACAATGTGTACTGTGTGCTATATCCATCAACAATACCTTGAATAGAAACTGCTTCGATAATCCTGAAGATAAGGTTATACTCATCCTCAAGAAAGAATACACAAATGCAAGACCAACTGCCCCACCCCATACGTTTTAGGTTTAATGTCAACATCTGTACCCTGAAAGTTCAGTAATGCCTGCAGCTGTATCCTGAACCTGTTAGCTTTAAGTTAATGTCACAAGTACATGTGGAGACTGTATATAGTGTGGTCATGCATACCCATGTCATCTATTTCTGGCATGCTATTCCCCGGCACTGAGGCGGTGGAGGGAGGCGAGCTAGCCGCGGCCCCAAGGGAGTTGGGCAGCTCTTCATCGTTGCCAAGGTTAGCAAGCATGGCCTGCAATGTTGATTTCTTAGGTCCTGTCAAAGGATGACACAGTATATGTACCCCAAGCCAAATCATTGTTGTATCAACAGATTAGAGGGAAATCCTTTATATCAATTATAGATATATGTATACAATTTTATTTACTTATTTTTACATTGGTATGGGTATACGCGTAACATCAATCATGATCCTGTTTTTTCCCACTTGCACTTCCTGTGCATATGTAACTTCCTGTATGTATGTATACCGATTATTTGAGCTCTCTTACACATGAAATTATCCACTGTAATTGAAGTTAATCTCTGAAGTTGATCTCAAACATCTCCTCTAGAACCTCAATAATTACAATAGAATAAAAACATCTTACATAGATGTCTTTTCTTTGTGTATAAGCCTTTGATTTAAGATTACCTAGGAGACATGCATTTCTGTGACAACAGAAGTCTTTAAGTTCTTGAATTCGTTATATTTTTCTTGAATTAGTGTATTGCTTTTCTGTTACGATACAATGTATTACTGTTTTGGTATTACGCATCATAACAGTTAATAAAGATAGTATATGACAAACCAAAACAATTTCACTGTACATGCAGGTTAATGAGCAATTACATTATTTACCTCACGTCAATATACAGGTTACAGCTAGTGATGGCCTTGACAACCAAACTCGCTAGTATCCCTAACTTTACACTCCTGTTGGCATGTTCTGACAATATATCAATCATAAGCATCATCTGTTGGAAATGTGCTTAGTTTTAAATGCTCTGTTAACTGCTTCCAATATGATATCCGAGGGTAGATAACTTATTATTGGTAAATGTATATGAAATGGAGACTAAAGATCCAAGCATAACAAAACATGACAGCTCATTATTTAAATATCCAACAACAGACAGACTTTGAAGGACAGGGAAAGATTTCACACAGAGGTCATCCATCACATACACACGATGTCACTGGCCTCCCTTACAATCTGACATGCACCTCCACCACATGCAGAAGTTGAACCCGGGCAACCTTAGGTTGGATAATTCCAGTGTTTGTAGGACATATCATGGTGTAGCCTTCAAATACAATGAGTGCCTTTAGTTTGCAAGAACAATCAACCAACTTATTGATCAAACAATTCATTCTGGGAAGCTGGTAAAAAGATTGAGTGTAAGCATGAAAGATGCTGGAATACAAAAGATTGAGACCAAAATAACAGAAAAGCATTAAGCACAGTTTATCAGATTGACGCTTATTTAATTGAAACAAGAGGCCCATGGGCCTTAACGGTCACCTGATATATTTATACAGCGAGTTGATTTTGTTTTTAACATGAACAGAAATATTATTCAAAGTGACAAAAAACAATAAAACCACCTTACTCAATATCTAGCATACAGATTTCAGACTAAAAAGGATTTGAAACTAGCACCTCTGATTCTTAACAAGGAAAATGAAGAAATTTTAGCACACTGACTCCTTTGAGCCCCACCCTACAGCCCTTGGGGGTAGGGCTGGCTCAAAATTTTCAAAGTATCAAACTGTCAATTCAAGGTTATAATTCCAATCAAGTTATTAACATGTAATATT